GGCTCCAACTCAAAAAAAAAAAAAAAAAAGAAAGATATTCTATATTCAAACAAATAAAAACATACCTGTATTAAAAATGTAATAACTATTTTATTTCGTGATGAACTTCTTACCTTTAAAAAAACTCACAGAAGTAAAATTCTGTGCAACGACTGTGTTAGTCAAAATACCAGCTTTACAGATGCTAAATAAAATACTACTGTACATTTTTAAAGGATAGTTAGCTCTTTTTTGTTTTTTTGAGTCGGAGTCTCACCCTGTCGCCCAGACTGGAGTGCAGTGGCCGCCCTCGGCCACCGCAGCCTCCACCTGCTGGGCTCCGGCCATCCTTCCGCCTCAGCCTTCCCAGCAGCCGGAATTACAGGCCTGCGCTACCACGCCCGGTTGATCTTTTTTTTATTTATTGTAGAGATGAGGTCTCACTGCCCAGGCGGGTCTCGAACCCGCGGGCTCAGGCCATCCACTCACCTCAGCCTCCCAAAGCGCGGGATTACAGGCTGGGCCACCGAGCCCGGCTGATAGTTAGCTCTTAATATTAAATGACAAGAGTATAACAAAAATAGTTTTTGGAAACATTTAAATTTCAATCACAAATTACATGGACTTTACTATACTTTGTTTGTAAAATATCTGAAAGAAAACAGATCAGTGAAGGAAAATATTTAGATGTTTATTTAAAAAAAATGTATATATTCTCTCACGTTTCATATTCTCCAGTGAGAGGAATGACAGTTCAAATGTAGTAACAAATTACCTTTTGTATGAGTAATATAGTTTTGGAAGGCACTGCTCTTTTATAAAGTCATTGCTTTCAAGGCAATAGGATACAGTACCGATTGTGTTGTCTCTGAACTTCTCAATGAAATTATGAAAGTCAAATTACATGCTTTACATAAATTAGCAAAGTTCATTTGTGATTTGGAATCATTATGTTATTAGTTTCTTGAGCAGCAGGATATCAGTTTCACTATACTGTTTTCAAATCGCAAAATAGGATACTCTCTCAATTGATCACATTCTTTTAGTCTAAACTTGGACTTGGCACTTGAAATGTATACCTTAAGGAGTCCCAACCACTTTTAATGGATAGTCAAAAGACAAACCAACAAACAACTGGTACCCCTGTTACCGCTCCAGGATCACAGAGTACTCTAAATCCCAACTTAGTGTTTGATGCTTCTGACCTCAGTTGTGTCATATCTGAGCCTCTTAGAGTTTCCTCTGATTAATATATAAGGAGAAACTCATAAAAACAGTTTGGTTGACAACAGCTATCATTAGACCTAGCTGAGATACACAGCAATTTAAAGAAGCAACTTGTATGGCTGTATCCTCCTTATCCAAAGAGTTCTCATAAAGAGCTAAGCATAAACTCTCAGGGGAAAAAAAGACATATATCCTACACTTACAAATATCTAGGAATCATCAAAATCAGGAGGAATAGTAGTTTTTTGAATAGTGTTTACTTTATAGATTAAGTTGCTTTTGTGAAAAGTAATGTTAATTGTAAGAAACATCATGATAATTAAACTATAATGAATAGAAAATAGATACAGAAGTACTTAGATTATAAAAGTGGACCAGGAATAACAAAATTAAATCATAATTGAAAACAATGCAAGAAACATTCAAGGAAAAAGACAACAAGGTCATTATTACAAAACTAAACTTTTAGACTATGATTTTTTTCTGTATTTTTCTTATATCTAATAAACTTTTATTCCAAAACAAGTATAATTTATAGAAAATACACATTAGTAAAAATATAAAAATAAGAGTACCATGTTTATACTACCAAGAGACAACTGCTATGTAATGTATTATTTTATATTATTCCAAATATATATATGTACATCTAGAGATATACCTAAAGGCATACATTTTTTACATATTGGTATCCTACAGTTTTGTAACCCTATCCTTTCAGTTTAATTCTGTCTTTCTGTGGCAACAACTTCCATTTTATCTACTACCTAATTTATATTTAGGCCTTTCAAGTTGTAGCGGCTATGACTGGCTTGTACAAACTAGGGTGTAATTCAAGATTGCATTTCACATCTAACTGTTCTGTCTACTAAGTCTTCTTACTCTTGACCAGTCCCTTTTAAAATGACATTCACCCATTAAAGACAACTTACAAGTGTCTTGTAGAAGATCCCTTCTTAATTTTGCCGACTGCTTCTTTGTAGTTAATTATTTATTTTTCAAGATTAAATTCTGCAGGAATATGGAGAATGTGGTCTCTTAAGATGTCCAACAAGACATTTATGTATGACTTTTAGGTGCATACATTGTAGTTCTTTGTTTCTTCAGATTGTTTTTACCGCCCCCATTCCTGCAGGGTGAAAGAGAATAAAAAGTAAAGAAACTCAAATCAGCCAAAGGAATTGGTACGGGAAAATATTGAAAGTAAATACTGAATAGAAAAGCAGAAAGTACTGTCTACTGAGGTCTTGAATGCTTGATTTGACTGCCATGTCTTACCTAAGTAGTAATGATGTAGCAATTGATCTCCACTGAAATAAGATGAAAAGAATAGAGGTCTTGTTTTGTTCTATTGGACATTTGTTCTTAAAAATAAAAAGCAAACAAAGGAACAAATACAAAACCAAAATAGATCATTTTATTTTAATATACAGTGATATTGACATGTATTTTCATAAATACACCATTTTTTTCTTTCACAAAATAAATAGGTAGAGAAAGTTTAGAGTTCGGTCAAAATCTACAATTAATAAAATATTGAACAAGATTAAGCTGAGGAAACAAAACTACAGCCCTTTCTAAAAAAGTTGTAATTTTGGGGAAATATGTTAGGTATTTGAGCAAAAATTATACCTTGATTTGAAAACCTAAAGTATTTTCTATAATACATATTTAGCCTGGCATGCTCAAATATACAATCTAATGCAAACCAAAACATATCACAATGATGAGTTTGTATCCATACTATAGTTTAATTTTCTTAGCATAGATTTTTATATCTTTAGAAAATGCCATTTAGAAAAATCTAGTTGAATTATAGCAACATTTCAGTATACTATAGTATTTTGAGCTGTCAGGAAATAACTTTTAGAATAAACTACCTTTTTAATTTTAGATTTTTCTGAAGTTTTATATGACAATATAACAGTTATAATCTTTAAGTCAGGACTGTGTATAGAAGTTAAACATATTTTTTTCCAAGAGCTCTTTAAAATTTCAAGATTTTATTTAGGGTCATCCACTATCATTATTTCTGAACTATCTTTGAGCAAAGTTTATTTTGCAAGAGGAAGTCAATATTTTTAAGAGATTATAGAATAGTTTTTTTAAAAAATAGAAATGTAATATATTAAATACTTTATTCTGGAACTCATGAGCATGCAGGGAATTCTTTTTTAGTTTTGATATCCATTATGGCTTCATGGTCAAATATCCATTAGATAACAGTTGTGTGTTTCTCTGCAGGTTATTTGTTATGGCATACAAAATTAATATATTTCAGGACTCTGATCCCTGAAACCTCATATAGATACTGGTCTAATCTAGAACAAAACACTGAAAACCACACTATTACTGTTCAAGCAAGGAAATATTTATCTTAGGAAACTGTCAGAAGTAGTCCTTTTCAAAATTGTATCTTTGCTAAAAATATTTTAGGAAAGCATTTAATAATGAAAATTCCCAATCAATCTCTTCCTAATCCCGTTTTCATACTACTTACATATTTTATATGTAATATTTAATGTACAGACCTCTTTTATGTGTATGACACTTAGACATGCTATTAATTATAATACTTAACCCAGTCATCATCATTCTGAAAGCCTAACTGACCAATTCTTGATCTTTCTTCTGACCTTTATCCTTTAAGAGTTACCTTTATCAGAGTTCCAAATAGCATTTTTAAAAACTCTCCTATCGACACCCTTGTACTTTAGAGATTGGGGTTCATAAGTCTTCAGAACACTCATTTTTGCTTTAAAGTTCTCGGCTGGAGGTTATCTTGACTGAAGGGTGGGGGAAGGGGAGCTGTTGGCATCTAATGGATGGAAGCAGGGATGCTGCTAATCATCCTTAAGAGCTGAGGGTACTCTCCCACAATAAGCTAGTATCCAGACCAAATTGTCAATAGTGCCACTGTTGTTAAAATCTGCTTTAGAGAAAACACTGATGATAAAATTATATACCACAACAATATTATTAGAATGTATTTTCCACTTATTCAAAGGTAATTGTAAAATTTACAAATTTTAGATGTGCCCATATCAACACTTTGGCATATATTTTTTTATTCCGTTAGCAAGTTCTACATATTTTCATCACATGGCATGTTGTGGCTGCTCACTCCCCACAGATTAGCTATATGTGCATGAATTATTAGTTTTTAAACATATAGTGTTGGTTGAGCCCTAATGCATTTTTATTTGTATTTCACCAAAAAGACTAGATTTGTGAAATGTAGATACTGTCTTATACAACTGCTCTTTCCTCTTCCTCTGTTTTCCCTCTCTTCATTTTTTTTTTTTCATTCTGATTGCCAGAACTCCCCTGATTGCAGCTGGAGTCATTGGTGGGCTCTTCATTCTGGTCATCTTGGGTCTGACATTTGCAGTTTATGTTAGAAGGAAGAGCATCAAAAAGAAAAGAGCCTTGAGAAGATTCCTGGAAACGGAGGTGTTTATTTCTTCTTTTCTGTGTTTAAGTGTTTTTATCAAGTTTATAATATTTAGATGATGTTCAGGTTTTTATCTAAGTAAAATTCTGTTCAATTTCCTGATGAAGATTTTATTTTATAGTATATTAAACAAAGCTGATGAAAAATCATATTACACAGTAAAAGTAGACATGACAGGCTCATGGCCTCAAGAGGATAGATGCCAGGAGTTAAGAAAATGACTGAGTTGGGGAAAAAACAAATTCATTTCTTTGTGTGTGTGTTTGTGTTGTGAAAAGGTCCTATTAACAAGCTTTGGGTACAGGGTATCTTAATACCAGCAGAACCAGAACATATCTGCATAGAAGATATATCAGTGACAAATCTAAGAAAACATTAGAAAAAGAGAGCATTTTCCTGTCACAAAATAAAACTAGTTAGATGAGCAATGTATGCTTTAATTGGGATCATTAAATTGTTAGTCAATAATCTTATTATACCAGCAGTGAAAGACTGGGCTTATAGGAGAAGGCTTAGTTTTGTAATCACACAGACCTTACAACACAATTCATGAGATGTTTTTCATATTATGCATGGTGGTTATTGTGAATATGTAAATTACCCATAAATGATTATAATTTCTTTTATATTGTTACACTGAGTTCTCTGGCATGAAAGTTGATAGTTTTTATTGTACAGGAGACAGGGAAAATAACCATTACAGAAGACTGTGCATTACCAGACCCTTCTCAACTCCCAACCTTCCTTTATCCTGATACAACATTCGTGCCTGTATGAACAATTTAAACAATTCTGCTGTGAGACTAAGCCTACCCTGTTTTGTTTTGTTTTTTTTTCTTTCTCATTGTCAGTGTGACAATCTGGCTTTCCCTCTGAATGCTAGTAGAAACAAAAATATTCATTCATTCGTACATTCTGCCCAATGATAATGAATTAAACTTCAGCTCTGTTTTTTCAAGAACCCAAAACTATGGAGTAGAATCATGCATGTGTAGCTTTCAGGAAATTACTTTATAGCTACTTATAAGAAGATACTTTTCTAAGGATTGGAGTTATCAGAAATTAAAATGGGCTGTCTCATCAATAGACTTATTCATGCAAATTAAAAGTAGTCAATTGCATTCCTGGGAAAACAGTAGTAATTCCTACTGTATCTGGATAGTTATAGAAAATCAATTTGATCACTATCAACCTTGTACATATGAATGAAAGTTTGAGCACAGCCCACGTGCTGTGCATATTTTCAATTTAGTTAGGATGCTGGAGGCAGATAGCATTTTCCCTCACAGCCAGCTTGAGGCAGTTGGTGAGAGAATTCTAATAAGTGAAGTACTATAAACTAGAGTTGAAGAGTAATTGAAAGCTTGGAATAACAGTGAACGTTTAGGTGATTGAATAAATAAATGGAAGAGAAATTCTGTCTCTTAACCACATGTAGGGAAGACTCATTGCTATGAAAAGAGTTGTGCTACTTTGTTTTGGTTTTCTTTGTTAATGCAGTGCTTCATAAAAATGTCCTTTAAATTGTCATTTCCTTACTAAATAAACATGCACTGATTGATTTTATGAGCAGATTCTATTTTTATAAAATGTTTTTACTTACGACTAAAATAGTTTACATTTGGAGGTTAGATAATCATAGAATACCCTATCCTTCTGTCAATAAAAATAAATAAATAATTTCCTATCACCATGAAGTAGAAGAGGAATTCTTATGAGGATCAATTTAAATCCTTAAATACTGAAGCTAGAAATTTGCCTCAGAGGTGGAAAATTTGTTGAATCTTGATAGATTGTTGGAATGCACTTCAAGTTGATACACTTTCCCCAAATTATTCTGCTCCACATTGCCTTCCTTATGTTACATGCATAAAACTGGAAAAGATATTTTTTTCCACACACTCTTACTGAGATGCACAGTAAGCTTGATGCTTTGGTTGATCATGTGATTCAAAAATGTATTAATGAAACATGATCCTATCCATTGAAGAGGGACAGATTCAGTGCCTGCAATATACTAGGCAATGTTCCAGAGTTTTCCACCTATGTTATCTTATTTCATCCTTTATCCTCTAGGTAATTCTTGACAGACCTATTTAACAGATAGGAAATGGGAAATAAGGGGCCAAAAGGGAGAAATGGCTTTCTAAGTCTGTGATTGGCAGCACTGGCATACAAACCTCCAAATGTATACCCAGTCCTCTTCCCACCATATTACTGCTAACTTGCAAAATGACACTCTGCTTCTATTAAAGGTGTAATATTTAATTTCTTGGAAACATGTTTTTGTAGAAATATTTTGAATGATATTCAAGAAAGTTGTAAGACTAAACAAACTCTGTGAGAACTGTGAGGTTTTCAAAATATAAAATTATAGCATAGAATATGCCAAGGTCTATATATAATATATATTTTAAGTATATCCAGTCCAAAGTGCTGAAGCTGTCTCCCCAGTGTTGCGTGTAATTTTATGTGACTTTTGATTTTTAAAAATGATTAATAAAAGTTACTTGTTATACATGTAGTGTATATATTAAAATCTACCAAACAGCACCTATGCAGTCGAGTTGACTTCAAGGGGACTCAGCAGGAGATTCATTCTGAGTTATAAGAAATAATTTAGTGATTCATTCTAAGATATTTTACGTTACTTGAATGCAGTTATATGTTAGCAAATCTACATTTTGGCAACATAAATTTAAAAATGAAGTAGAAGCAGATGAGTTGTCAAACTGTTAGAAAACAACCAAAATTTATTGGTAATTTGTTACCATGTTCTTCCTAAAGTCTTTACTATAGTTACACTTACCTTCACAAAAGACTCTTTTCTGATAATTAAGCAGGTTGTGATGTTCACAGAACCATGGTAATAATACCCAGGCAAGAGGGACACAGTGTACTTAGCCAAGTAAATGACATTCTGAAGTACTGTGGTAGCTTCAGGACAATTTGAGTGGTGGTAGTTCTTTATTATTTCTTTAAGCTGAAAGAGAGCTGACTATCTGTGTGTAAAGTTTTGTTCCTTTATTTAACTGAAAGAAGAAAAAAAAACTAGGCCTCGCTCTTGCCTTTTTTCTCACACATAGATAAAAGTAGTCTTAACATAGGTTATGTGCTTTTTGATACCAAGTCTGTCTTTTGCATATATCTTTCCTCGCATATGCAGTGATTGGCACACCTGCACGTGCCCTTCCCCTTCTCATTCATTCCTCTGACTGAATCACGTCTCATCTATGACATCTAAAACCATCAGCCTAATTTTACTCTTTTCGGCCACACCCAGCCCACCTCATGTTTCGATAGATTTCCCACCTGACCCTTGAGACCTGTCCCATTCCCTGATTTATTCCCCTATGTATCTTCTTCCTTTTCCCTGGAGCTGCACCAAAATGCACTTCACAATGGCCACGTCTTCCTGATCTGAAACCATCTTCATTATCTCAAGACGGTCTTTAGGAAGCCAAAACTTGTGAACCTCTTTTCTCAGTGGTTATCTTATCCCTTGTATTTCATAGCATTCACTTATAATCTAGAATTGAATTATAAAATTTTAGAATCTTTGATCTAACAGATACATTTGGTCCTTGGTACTTAAAATGTTTTCAAGGACCACCAAGGTTCATGGGTATCACTTGGGATACTGTGAAAATGCAATATTTGAAGCCCACCCCAGATCTATGGAGCCAGGGCCTGCCCTTAGTAAGAACCTCTAGTGGTTCATATATACAGTAAAGTTTTAACAGTGCTGTTCTAGGGTGTTGACATTGTACTTTTTCTCTCTTCTGATGTGTTTGTCCTGGCTTTATGGGTCTATTTCAAGCCTTAAGAAGGCAGTGTTTTGTTTTTTTAATGCATCAGATTTCCTAGCCTAATGAACACATATTTGTCACTTGTATTTGCCCTGGCAAAGAGAAGAGAGTATAGGGTCTAAAGGAATGCATAAATGTGTATTTGTAGATAAGTGACCCATATTACAAAAGTATTGTCTATCAAGGAAAAGTGAGTGTGTTCTGCAAGTGGTAGAAACAGAACCAGAGAGAGAGAGAGAGAGAAAAGGACTGTTTGTTAGATTAAAAATTACATAATCACTTGGCATGGGGGCTCATGCCTGAAATCCAACATGTTGGGAGGCCCAGGCAGAAGAACTGCTTGAAGGCAGGAGTTGGAAACTGATAACATAATGAGACCACTCCTTTAAAATAATAATAAAACTAAAAATTAGTCAGGCATGGTGGTGCCTACTAATTCCAGTTACTTAGGAGGCGGAGGCGGAAGACTCACTTGAGCCCAGAAGTGTGTGGGTGATAGAGTGAGACTGTCTCTTAAAAAAAAAAGAAAGAAAGAAAGAAAAAAGAAAGTCACATAACCTTTTTCTTTTTGTTTTGCAGTTGGTGGAACCCTTAACGCCCAGCGGCACTGCACCCAATCAAGCTCAACTTCGTATTTTGAAAGAAACAGAGCTCAAGAGGGTCAAAGTCCTTGGCTCAGGCGCTTTTGGTACCGTTTATAAAGTAAGGAAAAAAAAAACAACAACACAAACCAGTGGTATTTTCAGTTTTGTTTTAGACTTTTAAAAATAACAACCAATAGTGTTATTATATTAGCCAACCTAATTTTTATAGTATGCAGAAGTTTATAATATTGAAAAGTTATGTATTATATAATCTTCATAACATTGAGGCGTTAATATGTATTATAATCTTTATAATATTGAGAAGTTGCTGCACAATTAAATGTACTAAGTTTTATTAAACAAGCTGGGACCCATATAGTCTTAAGAGAAAGCACAAAGCACTGATGCAAAGCCAAGTATGGTTCTTTTCTCAGTGGGCTTCATAGCCTTATTTCAGTTTCCCTTTGGAAAACTTTCATCCTTCTCCAAAAGAGTCAGCACAACCATTTCCCTTTACCCCTACTCAGTGCGCCATGACACCCTGGCATACCTGGCCAATGTGCCATAATCCCTTGCTTTTATTTTCTTCTACTTTTTAATCCAAAAGCTGATCTTTTTAGGATCCACAAAAATATGCTGATGCCTTACTAGGATGGCACTCGCTCCTAAGTCATCTTTGGCCTACATTTACAGTTTTGTAAATAATTTCCGTAGCTTTGATGTCCTCACCGTTACTGACAAATTAAAAAGTGACTTTCTATGTGAAATTCAGGTCAGAGAGGAGGGAAGGGGAACATCATGTGTCTTCAGTAAGATGGTTCTGGAAAGGAAAAGCTCAAGTGATGGCATTTGTATTTACTTATTTGTGTTAACTGCAAGACCAGAGGCCAGGCCGAAGTTAATTGTAGTGACATTTATTTTAATAGTAAATAACAAGAAAAAGAAATTCTGCCAGACTAATGCTGTATCCTTCTTGTAATATTCATTACTACAATTCTCAAAAGTTACATTGGCAGTTTTATATCTGCGTGTGTGTGTGTGTGTGTGTGTGTGTGTGTGTGTGTGTGTGTATTTGAGTTGGGGGCTCCCTCTCACCCAGGCTGGAGTGCAGTGACACCATCACAACTCACTGCAGCCTCGACTTCCTAGTCTCAGGAGGTCTTTTTGTCTCGGCCTCCTGAGTGGCTGGGTCTATGGGCATGTACCACCATGCCTAGCTACATTTTTTTAATTTTTTGTAGAGATTAGGTCTTGCTATGTTGCCCAGGCCAGTCTTGAATTCCTGGTCTCAAGCAATCCTCTTGCCTTGGATTGCTAAAGTACTGGAATTACAGGTGTGAAACACCACACCTGGCCATATTTCTTAAAGTTATAGGCAATCTTACATTTTTGCAAGCATATTTATTAAAATATATTGTATCTTAGGAAATTTGCATTTAAATTTTGTTTTCTATTTAGAACAAAGATTTAACAGAATTAACAATTAGAATATAAACTTTAAATTTTCTTTCCTGTGTTCCAAAGCTATCTAATCTCCTTTAAATATTTTTAAAAGGAAATATGTAGACATTTCTTAATCTTTTAGTATGCATATTTTGTTCAATTAACTTTAAAATTATTAACAGTGCACCTACTTAACATAAACATTTTTCCAGGCTGATGATGCCTTTTTTAAACTTCAAATTGTATATATGTTCAAAGAAACATAATTCATCATGTTTCTCTTTATGATTCTAGAAAAAAGAGTTAGACTATATCATTTTATATACTTAAAATGATAATCTATTTAATAACAGAAATTTTATTAATATCTTTAGTAATCTTAATCTTTATATACTTCATAATAAAATCACATCAAGCAAATTATTTAGATTAATAGATGTAGATTCCTAAATTCCAGGCTTGGTTTTTTAAATGGCTAATTAAAAGTAATGCCATGAACTGGATCAATACTGGCAAACATTTATGGATCTTCTTGCCATCATAAACCCCCATTCCAGTGATCTGTTGTAGGATTTTCCCCTTTTGGTAATTGCTTCACTTCACCATATTTGTAGATTATCTCCGTTTCTAGGCTAAACCAAAGGACAAGTCAATAAAAAGATATGAACTCCCTGCACTTAGATTTTGGTCTGTTACCAATTCTGCATGTCACACTGACAAAATGTAAAGCATGTTAGCAAATCTATGTGTTTAGGGAGAAAAGAGAGAGAGATAAATGGCCAAATTTAAATGTATTATAACAATCTCTCATTTTTAAGTTAACTCAGTCTTGGATTGTTCCTAGAATACAGGCACCCTTGTATTTTAAAAAATAAGCTGTTCTGGAAATTTAAATTTTATTTTAAACCAAGGATATCCTTTAACTCAAGACTAAATACTATGTAGTGACCTCAGAAGAAAAAAATATATTACCCATTTAAACATGTAATAACAAAGCTTTATCAATATTTTTATTAAGATCAATTATTTGTCTGTTCATGAGTGTTTGACTTTATCAAAGTTACTTGTAATGAAAGTATATGGGAAGTTCCATAACCTTGTTTAAATTTTATTGCCTGGAATCTATCTTGTTAATGCTCTTTTAATCAAAATATCAGTTGTTACGAGGACATGCTGTCTTAAACTGTAAATGATTATTCTTGACCATAGAAATGCAAATTGGCTTGACCAATTATTTGGTTATATTTTCTCCTAACTAAAATATGCTATGGTTAAGCATAAAAGAGACTGGGCAGTGGCTCAAGCCTATAATCCCAGCAGTTTCGGAGGCTGAGGTGAGAAGATTGCCTGAGCCCACGGGTTCGAGACCAGCTCGGGCAACTTGGCGAGACTTTCTCTCTACAATAAATCACAAAAAATTAGCCAGTCATGGTGGCAAGGGCCTGTAGTTCCAGTTACTTGAAAGGCTGAAGCAGAAGGATCGCCTGAGCCCAGCAGGTCGAGGCTATGGTGACCATGAGCGTGCCACTGCACTCCAGCCTGGGCGACAAAGTGAGACTCAGACTCACAAACACAAAAAGAAGCTTAAAAGATTAGAGTCAATATTATGGATATCAAATAGTTGAAATTGTTCTGGTCGTGCCTAGAAAATGATGAAATTATGAATGAGATAATGGAAGTAAATGATTTAAATAAATATTATTTTAAAGAGCAGGACAGTTTAATTATGTTAAATATATGTTGTAATTTTTCAAAAAGTACACTTTAGGAATACTTTCATATTGGTGCTATGTCTTTATAAAATAACGCCCTCTGCAGTTATTTTATTAACTCATGAATGGTAAGCCTTTTTTCCATACTATCAGTGAACAAATGTAACTTGTAGATCTTGAGGTTTTTTTTCTTATTTCTATTTCTACATTATTTTTTAAAATTTTATACAATAAATTAGGCTTATTATTTTGCATTTGACACATGGAGCTCCCTATTCACCCTGCCTAGGAACAGTGCAACCATAAATTCACTTTCTAAAGGTTAAAGTCTTTTATTTTCTTTATTATTATAACTATGCTTTCTAATAATTCTTGTGTTAGGTCTTCTCATATTATTATAACTTTGGATAACACTAGTACTTATGTTTCAACATAGAAGTTCAAAGTGGAAACCTTCTTAATTATTTTATGTATGGCTACAATCAGCTGATATTAAAAAGAAAGTAGAAGCGTCCTGTTCAGGAATAACAAATTAAATTTTTTCCTTTTATTTTAATGTTAAAACTCTCATACGAAGTCTTTTTTGATGTCAAGGATAATATATTAAAATTTGAGATTTTGTTTTTTGTCTTCCTCCTGACCTATTTACTTTTGTAGGTCATTTGGGATAATGTGTCTTTTTAAATGTATTCTTATATAAATTGTGCATCCTTGCATGTCTTATCAAAATTATTGTCCTCATTGAAATGTTTGGATTTTATTTTCCCAGAAATGCTATTATTTAGCTTAATGTTGTACCTTACAAAAATTCTACCAACGTTATACTTTCCCAATGTCTATATCCTGTTCAGATATAGTTAAATTTTGATAGAAAGAGAGAACTCTCAAAGACCAATATAAACATTATATATTTCTTCACAGATAATAAAAATTCTTCACACATATACACACACGCATAATTTAATAATATGGACAAATTAATATGTGCACAATACCCCCTAGTACCTGACTTTGAAAATTAATCTTAAATAATCACCATTGGAAATTAAATTCTTAAGTCAATATGAACTTGAAATCATGAGAATGTGTTTTTTTCTCATTGCAGAATAATTAGATAATATTCAAGTTCAAAAGAACCTCTAATATTACTTAACCCAATCTTCTAAATTACAGATGAGACAAATGAACTTCAAAAAATGGAACAGCCTTCTCAAAGTCTTGAGAAGTTGATATCATCCAGATCAATATTGTTATTCTATTTGATGTCCATGCTATCTTCACGATTTAAAGACTTTTTATGCATACAAGTTGAACTTGATCTTAATACAAATACCTCTAAAACAGAATATACACATATGATTCATCTTCAGATAATGAAAGCAGACAACAAAGTTGCAGACAACAAACTTGTAACATATAACAGGTGCTAAATAAAGTTTTCTTGATTGAATGACATGATATAGAACCTCTAAATTATTTTCTAAGAAGCTAATAGGTTGTGATGTCAAATTTAATGTGAATTTTTTCTTTCACCAAAGGGTATTTGGGTACCTGAAGGAGAAACTGTGAAAATTCCTGTGGCTATTAAGATTCTCAATGAGACAACTGGTCCCAAGGCCAATGTGGAATTCATGGATGTAAGTATAGACACCCAGAGAATCATATTTTTAATCCAATATCAAACTTACTACTTGGAGAATTATTTTTTTAATTTATTTTTATATATTTTATTTTGAAGATGTGGGGTACAATTCAGGATTTGGTATATAAGTGGACATCGTATAGGAAAAGTTCAAACCTCCCTTTAGTCCCTACTTTGCTTGGTTTGAGATCAGTTGAGAATTTTTTTTAAAGACTCCACAATTTACAAAGTTTCTTCTATGAAAATGGTATAATCTTACAATTAAAGACATTTCTAAGACAACTTCACATTATGTTATAGTTTTTAGAACACTTCTGGTTCACAACTCTCTGCTTAGATAGCTCACTTAAACTTGTCTTTGGAATTTGAAGATATTCACAGTCCTCAAGGTGCATTATCTTCTGTGTTCAATCAGATATGTAATGTTTTTGTATCTTATTGTTAAATATAGCTAAGTAGACTTCAAGCAAAAACAATAAATAATTTGAACTGAAAAATATTTAACAATCACAATAACCAATTATATTTAGTAATCACATATCATGATTTTCTTAAAAATAGTCATGCAGAATAGTATCAGGACTATGTGGTAGTGATAAATCAGTCATCACTATTTACTAAGTGTCAAGCACTGTTGAAAATAATTCACAGATAATAAATTAGTTAATCCTCGGAATATGGCAGTCTGGAAAACTGACCTTAACCCAAGGTTATTCCAAGGTCACAAAGTTAGGATATAGCAAGTCTCGGCTTTGAGTTCAGGCAGACAGGCTTGAATAGGGATCAGTAAACTTTTTCTTAAAGGACCAGATAATAGTCAGGCTTTGCATGCTAATTTTTCTCTGCGGCAACTACTTAGCTTGGCCCTTTTGGTGGGAAAGCAGCCATAGGCAACTAAAACAAATAAAGCAAAACCAAATGCAAATGGGTGTGACTATGTTCCAATAAAACTTTGTGTTTACACAAACAAAAGGCAGGCCAGATTTTGCCTGCAGATGAACCCTTGCTTTCTAATAATTTGCCAACTGCATTTGGGGAAAGTGATGATGATTTGAAAAATTAACCAGACTGCTTTATTTTATTATGGTTAGGATCTACTTAATTGAAAACATCAATCAAGATTAGTTTCCATTGTACGTTAGTCTCTGTTAAATTTAAATTAGGAACCTACCTGTGTCAGATAATTACTCCTTGACATTTACTTTTTCCAATTCAAATTCAGAAGATAAGACTCTATAGGTTAAAAAACTCCAACTATAGAATAATAAGAGAGCTCTAAAGAATAAAGTTACTTTATAAGGTCAATCAGACCTTTAAGATTTCCCCTAGCCAAAAATTGTAGATGGAACTGTTCAGCACATTTCAGAGAGTAGAATGAAATAAAACTGTGTATGTATCATGCTGTTATTTTTTCAAATTCAATACACGATATCTTGCCAGGGATTCTATCAAAGACCATATATGTTCTTTCTCTATCTTTTAGCATAATGTCTTTAGTAATGAGAATGATTTCTATGTTCAAATGATCTTCATATGAAAGATGATGCAAGCATATGCACTTTGATTTCTTTAAGGATTGCTACATATTTCTATTCAGTTTCTCCTGTAAGTTTTTTTGCAAGTTTTACAGGAACTCAGTCTATGATCGAATAATTTGCATAAAACCACCACCCTGTATAAGATCACTCTTAGCTTAACTTGTTACATGGTAGGGCTGGTAATCAGCTGGTACTAACTAGCTGTTCTGATTAGTTGGTTTCATGTCTTGCCCAGCCTAGGCTAGAGCCAAAGCTGAAATTCACAAGAATGCTAATAATCTCTGCTGGAGCTTGGACAGCCATTTTTGTCATATTTCCATGGAAACAGACTGGTAAAAGGGGGTTAAGAGGTTACAAAATAATCACACCTAAGAAAAAAGCTCTAAAAACCTCATCATGATTTTGAATGATTATTTGAAAGCTCCTAACCCCATCTTTTTCTTTTCTTTTCTTTTCTTTTTTTTTCTGAAGTCTATTCCCATGGAAACAGGAGTGAGGATGGCAGCTTGAAGGCTTAGATTTCCGCTGAATTTTAGATGAGGCTCTGATTGAGCCTTGAAAGGAGTCATTTTCCTAGATGGTTGATGGATATAGTAACCAACAGACTCAAAGAAATCTGTTCTTTTTAAAAGTAAAAAAAAGTTAAAGAAAATATTTTGACTGTGCCTTTCCTACTTGTAGTTAGATGCTAGAAGATTAACAGATTGATGGACCGCTATTGACAGAGTGTCAATAAATATCAGGCACAAACACTTCTTATTATCTTGGTGATTTCTTTCAAAACATTAGAAGGATAGCATCACAATGATTAAAACGCAGTTTGACAGGCAACATTGATGACAAATTCAATATTTTATGTTGACTGGTATAATTGTAATGCGAACATATGCCTAAATTGCATACTTACATTTTTAGCTCATCTGTTATTAGTGTAGACCATTATAAATATTTGAACATGACTGGGTGCTGTGACTCATGCCTGTAATCCCAGCACTTTGGGAGGCTGAAGCAAGAGGCTTGCTTGAGCACAGGAGTTCAAGACCAGCCTGGGCAACTTGGTAAGACCTCTTCTTTACAAAAAAATAAAAAATAAGCCGGGCTCAGTGGCTCAGCCTGTAATCCCACTCTTTAGGAGGCTGAGGTGAGTGGATTGCCTGAGCCTGTGGGTTCGAGACCCGCCTGGGCGACTTGGCGAGACCTCATCTCTACAATAAATCAAAAAATCAGCCGGGCATGGTAGCGCATGCCTGTAATTCTGGCTACTCGGAAGGCTGAGGTGGAAGGATCGCCGGAGTCAAGCAGGTCGAGGCTGCAGTGGCCGGGAGTGGCCACTGCACTCCAGTCTGGGAGACAGAGTGAGACTCCAACTCAAAAAAAAATAAAAAATAAAAATTAAATAAGTTGGGCGTAGTGGTAAGTACCTGTAGTTCCAGCTACTTGGGAGGCTGAGGCAAAAGGATTGCCTGAGCCCCAGAGGTCCAGGTTGAGGTGAGCCATGATCATGCCACTGCACTCCAGCCTGGGTAGCAGAGCAAGATCCAGACTTAAAAAAAAAAAAAAAAAAAAAAAAAAAAAAAAAATATATATATATATATATATATATATATATATATATATATTAAAAGATCCAGACTTTATATATATATATATATATATATATATATATATATATACACATATGTATTTGAATAACAAATCAAATCACAACAGAAAAGTTTGTATAAGTAAAATCATTTTAAATTTTAACCTAAGGCTTGAATTGAAATGATAACTACTCCAGAGTTACTAGATTAAAAGTAATCTATTTAACATGTCTTAGTTTGGGTTCTTACGGAAGCAGAAGCCACCCCTGAAACAAAGATTTGAGCCAAAGTAGTTTATTTTAGAGGCAACAGACTCATCCAATAAGGGAGTGAGGAAGTAAGACTGCACAATGAAACTAGCTTCCATTGTGAGTGACTGGACTTCTTTTCACCGTCGAGCCGGTGTGGGATGTGCACCTTAGAATTATCCCATTCAAGTGTTAAGGGAGCTGGGGGCTATAGCACTTTGAGGGATGCCGGGAGAGAGGGACATTTATCCCCCTGTATGTTCTACCTGCTGATAGTAGCAAAATCGGCTTCAGTGGCAAGAGAAAGCTGTTGATCGAAGAAAGGTGGGTGGAAGAATGTTCCAAGGATAACTTCAAACTAAAATAAGACCTATTACTACCCTGCTACCTGTCTCCTTTGCAAACTAGTGTATACGTGTGTTTGTATTTATCTGCACGTGTGACTGTGTGTTGTGTACTATTTTAGAGAAGAAAATAAGGTTTCCGAAGACAATGGAAATTGCATACACTTATTATTAGACCTCCCTTTCCCCTTCCAGCTTTACACTTAGAGTAGTACATTCTAGATTCTATAATCACTCTTCACCTGATCTAGCTGTGCTTTCATGGTTATTATAATAAATGACACAAATGCAGCAACTTAATACTCAAAATTCATCACCATATTCAATACTTTTATTGATATCCAAGGACAAAGGAGAGGCCTTTTATTTTTTTTTAGAATTTTACCTTAGGTAAAAAATAAATAAGGGGCAGTTTGTGTTCTATTAAAGGCTTCAGTAAAAGCAAGAGAAGGAGGGTTTGGTCACAGGGCTGTTACTCAGCTCACCTGAATATGTCTAATGGATTCATAATGACAATAATAACACTCTGCTAGTGAATGGCCGGTACATTCTTTAGTCTCATAAAGAAAGACCACATTGAACAACATTAAGAAAATGGCTCAAAAGGTCCACCTTCATAAGAAGAATGCCTGCATTTATACATGCTCCTAGTTCTTGTTTTAAATGGCACCATTTTATTGGGAAAATGCAGGGATTTGGGGGTTTGGGGAGGGGGTTGGTGTTTTTTGCCTTTTTTTTTTTTTTAATCCATCAAATGGTACAGTACGCATACCTAGGAAATTATGTTATTGAACAGAAATCCTAGAATTGGGAGCCATGGACTGGTAAAATCAGAGAGAATACAGTTTTTCTAGTTCTGACTACTCTATTTTTCCCTGTAATAGTTAAGCCTAATATAGGTTGGCATTTTTGTGTGTGTGTGTTGGAGTCTCACTCTGTCGCCCAGACTGGAGTGCAGTGGCCGCTCCCGGTCACCGCAGCCTCAACCTTCTGAGCTCCGGCGACCCTTCCACCTCAGCCTTCCGAGTAGCCGTAATTACAGGCATGCGCTACCACACCAAGCTGATTTTTTAATTTATTGTAGAGATGAGGTCTCGCTGCCCAGGCGGGTCTCGAACCCGCGGGCTCAGGCAATCCACTCACCTCAGCCTCCCAAAGGCGCCGGATTACAAACTGAGCCACCGAGCCCGGCAATTGGTATTGTTTTTAAGTGCTTTACCTAAATTATTTGCTTTAAAAAAAAGAACTGAGAATGAAAAAAATCTGTAATGATTCTAAATTC